TATATTATTTATATAAAACATTTTGATTGATAACAACCAATTACTGGAATCAAAGCATGGATTTATTTACAATATGTAAATGCAGTTGTTTAGTTCATACTTCTCGGTCACGTTTAATTCATTTTTTTTGTACTGAACGAAAACTTTATAGCTGACATGATTACTTTTATTGGTGTTCAGTAGACTTTTATTTAAAAACGAGCCAGATGGTGTTGTTCAATATAATGATGAAATGCTTGCAATAAAACTATTCGGCATGAAGAATGAAAAATTAAATAGATGGAGGTTTTCGTCAAACATCTTAATTTTGACACCTTATATTCTACGTCAGCTGTTCTACACTGAGGTGATGCAACATTTAACAAAACTGTGCAGTGTTTATATAACTAGTGATATACATTCAAAAAGGAGAGCGCAAAAAGCCAACTATCACAAGGGCGACCACGAAAGAAACGCATATTAACCAAGGTCAGGATTGAAAGGGGAATAACATTTATAATGGTGTGTTATCTGTTAGATTCGCCAACTGTCAGTCTTCCTTACGAACAATAAAAAAGTGGTTTCCTGAACGTCTAATAAAAAATGCTGTGCTTTGTCGAATTTGATAACAGATTATTATTCTACAACCATAGTCATGTTATCTCGTACGTCTATTCCAAATTAGCTAGCTTGATTATAAATGCAGTAACATCACAACTTTTATTATTTATTTATTTTAACACATAAATATTAACACAAGGAGGCACCAAATACATATACGCCACACAAATCTCATTTGATTTGTGTGAGGGCTGTGATACTGTCCGGGTGCTCAAACCGAAGCAGGTGGTTTTCTTAGGGGGCCACACCCCGAGCCTTTGACCTGAAGGTCTGGTCCACAAGGCAATGGAGCATCGTAAGGAGATGCAGTATCATGGAAGCCGGTGACCAACAGCTGGTTCATACTCCATTTGTTCCCGCAGGATACTGGAGACCATGTGTACCATTGGTTTGAAATCCGGTTAAAACGCCGGACATTTGTCCTCTCATTTTCGTAAACAACACCCCCACCACGAGAATGCAGTGAGTAGGACTTCCCTGGCAGAGGCTACATCACAACATCATGTTTTAGACAGTTTCACTCTAAAGGGGGTTGCAATTCATTATTTCAAACCTGAGCTATGTGTGTAAAAGCATCACATCAAGCTGTTATCATATCTGAGTCATTTTCCACACACAGTCACTCGGTTATGGACACCTTATTTTAAGGCTTTTAATTTTTAGTCATTTGTTGTTACCACTTTTATGTTTTAAATTTATTCTACTCCTTAAGTGATCAGTAATCGTTTAGGCGTTTGCTTATTATTTTTCTTGTATTTCCGATCATTACACAACCTTAATTCGATTCTTGAAGTTGTGTATAAATCTATATATTTTTTGACAGACTAAGAAGGGTAATAAGGGTAAGCAACACAAATATTTAAAATTCTGACGTCGACACATTGATAACCTAAAAGGACTACTACAATAAAATAGTCCAGAGAATATATTGCCTCACTGAATATAATACATCAAAGGAAAGCATCAATAAGCGATAGCATCAACTTAATATTGATATAAATGTTAAATGCATTATAAAATTTTCGTAACATAGTTTAAAATATTCAGATGAGTGTATCCAAACTATATGCCATTCCACGTAGATAATTGAGTCCTTCACCACAGGGGGTAAATCGAATATATCTCACACCATTATTAGTGTTATTCCTCCTTTCAATCTTCACCATTATTAATATGCGCCTTTTTCACGGTTACTCATTTGACAGTCACCCTTGGTAATGCGAACCCTCTCTCACTCTCCCACAACCAGTACCTGAATTTAGTAATAACTCTAGGTTAATTAGCACCATAAATACAGCTAACTAAAGTTGAAGCCAAAAATGTAATACTATAACTAGTGAAAGTACTTAAAAATATCCTTACCAGAAAGCCAATAATAAGACAATTGAGTAAATTCATGATGTATTATCCGGCTTAGAGTTTGAACAAAACAAATTACTGTTCTTCGTCCCATAAATTATATCTTTCTAAGTGAATATTTACCATCGATAAAATTAGTAAAACTATAAATAATAATATCCATACGTATATCACTAGTGGTCGTAGTACTATTTAATCTCAGTTGTGATGGCTTATAATATTAATACTTTACTATGCATCACAAATCCCTTTAATTTACAATTAATCATGTCTACTTTGTTGCTATCAGGTCAATCCCATCAAATTGAGACGGCTCTTAAAAAATTAAATTTACAACAAAATGAACAGAAATACTGATCAGATGTTATCTTGATTTATTTTCCAGTGTGTTCCCAATTAATGCAATTAAATGTGGTGTTTTTATAGTAGCTTTGTGTACATTTCATTAGAGAATTCAACATTTTCATCTAGGCACATTTTATTGGTTATCATAAAATATATTTTAAAACTATTCTGAGCTCTATTATCTTTTAGAATTCTTTGCTCTTGATAACTAATTTGGGACTATATCATTTTAATAAATATGGGATTTCTTCTGAGTTCTTAAAGCGAACCTGGCTAAAATACTATGGTAATCACAGCGTATTTGCATTTCAGATGTATAATGATTATAAGGTCATTTGGATATTAGATTTGGGGTCGGAAACTAAGTAGAGTCTTACTGGTAGCCATGTAGAATTTGTTGGTTATAGACAATGTGACATTATTAGTCTGCTGTTCAATCGGCTGAAAGGACTGATGTAGTAGTAAATTTGATATTTAAAACTTAACGGTAAGGATAACCTGGAATGATCACAGTCGAAAATGTAATATTTTATTCAGTCTTACTGTTAATCAATCGGTGTACTGAACCGTTTTTTAGATTAACCGGTAAGATAAATATATAATCACTTACAGCCATTCTGTAATAACAGTATTTCTGGAGTCTTCGTTTTATTGTTATGACACTACCTGTTTCGCTGGCTATTGTTTATTTACATAAATATTTCTTGAACGAAACTGATAACTGATACCAAGAGAAAAGTATTTTGCAAAAACGTTTAAGCCGGTGGTCTCCTCAAACATAATTTAGATGTTATGTTAACGTTTAGAAAACAACTTAAGTTTCAAATGTATTTCAGTCATTCAGCTACCATGATGGTTAGAAGAAAAGAACAATAAAACACTATACCTTTTAAGAAACAAAACTTATCTGTTCTAGTTATTCTATTGTATTTTTGTCAAGAGTAATATGAAAAGTTCTGTGAATCAATCATACATATATCAGTTATTATAATAAAATAAACTGTAAAAACATACATAATTATAGGGATTCTCTGGATTAAAATTAATGGTATTATAATTGACAACGTTAGAAAGATATGTACATAACTGTAAAAATACAGTTTGTAACCAAGTCATGAAAATTTAATATTGATTGACACAATGATAATTTGATTGAGTTGTCTACTAATATGTATAATACTTTTTATTATTTCAGTATTCAATGCAATGAAAATGTTAATGACACTATCACATTTCTGATGGACCGATTAATTAGCCAAGTGAGTAGCTGCATTTCTGAACAAATGAAGACCTGTATGTTTATGTGTTTAGGAATGGATAACCTACGTTAGAGCTGGTAATAGCTGAGCTTGATTAACATACGTACAGATCACTAGATCTCATGAGAACTGATAAATTCATTAATCGAAAGGACATATAAAGCTTTTGCATTCTGGCGAACCTCGATATTACTCATTAGGTGATTTTAAAACTTGCTACTCTCAAAAGCATCTTATGATGCATACGTTGAAAGTAGAAATCAGTCTACTTTTAGTTGAGATCATAAACCGATTGATGTCAGACCACCGTTGAAAACCTCGAAGCACTGGACGTCCGTTTCGTCCTATTGTGGGACTCCCCAACAGCGCGCATCCACGAGCCCGCTCACGGGATTCGAACCAAGGATCTTCAGTCTCGCGCGCGAACGCATAACCTACTGGGCTACTGAGCCAGCATCCAATGATGTTAATATCTAGCATCAACCAATCCACAGAATTGCGCGATCAACTTCCGTTGTACTGAGGTAGATAACTGTCTCTACCCGACACGGATTAGCTCCACTGGTCACGACTTCTCACCAGAATTCCGAGAATTTTCTCACGAAGCTAGTCACTAGTGAGCACATGTTGATTACTAGTATATAGGTTGTGGATGCTCACTGCCGAGGAGTCCCACAATAGAACGAAACGGCCGTCCAATGCTTTCAGGTTTCCAACGGTGTTCTAACATCAATCGGTTCATGATCTCAATCAAAAACCTAATAATCTCCACAACCCCTATACTAGTAGCCTACTTTTAGTTTGATTTTAGCTAACAAATTTTTAAATTCTTAGCTCAATTTAATTGCTTTGACTGAAAAATAATGTTTATGTCGATTAGGTCTCGTAACTCTGAAGTGGACGATAATTCACGTTGAAAAAAAAACGAATTATTGTTTAAAGGAAAATTACACAACGTCATAATAAAATATAAAAATCATGATTGAAAACATCATTTACACATCATCTCTGAGTTGTCCTTCATTTGTTCCATAATTCCCCCAATTCTGTTTATATTACAATTGCTATTTGATTTCCTTTCTATCCTCTTCAAATTAATCTTCTGCCGCCAGACATTCCACATCAGATTGCAACTAAATACTAATGTCTATCAGCATAAGTAGTATACACCACAGCTACATTAAAACTAGGGGTTGAATGTCATGATTTTGATAACTACTGTAGAAAAATGTAGATTATAGTTGCTATTGATAAAACTGAGTCTGTTTATTCGTTTCTTTGTGCAGAAATTAATTGCAAAGGATTGAAAATAAAAAAACAATATATTAAATTCATGAATGATATGTCTTAAAAATTTTGAATTACAAGTAAATCATCACATTGATTAGTTTCTTTAAATTATAACCACAGAACTGTCAAATGAATAAACTAACTCACCCAAAATGGTAGTGATTTTGTGAACATTAAATATCGTCTACTTTCTACTACACGTGTCATTGTATGCGTTAGACCTCGGTTACGATGATGACCATGATTGTTGTGACGATGATGATGATGGTGGTGGTGGTGATGATGATGATGATTATGATGATGGTGATGATGATGATGACCAAGATCATGACTTTTTAATTCATTTTTCTCTGGAATCTGTGAAATTTCATTCAATGGTCCTGTTACTAGAACACTAGAAGCTGAATTAGCACTTGAAGGTTCAGTGGCATTATAACTTGAGACTTTTATTCGTGGTTTATCTGTTTCACAAACAATATTCTCCTCTGATCTGGAAAAATGCTCCATTATAAATCCTCTATGTGGTTGAGGTGATATTGTTAGACTTTTTCGGTCGACTATTCTTCCACTTAAACTTCCAGCTAAATAATAAAAAAAATTCAAATGACAAAAACAATATTCATTCTTAGAACAAGTTTGTGTACCATTTTAAATTAATCATATCCGATGCTTTTATTTAAAATTTAACTTATGTAACATGTTTACCAACATAATTTATTGTAAAGGTCAATATTGAAATCTGTTATATTACTTCTATTATATTTCACTTTCTTACCTCATATCTCTTTACCATAACATGCTTGTTGACCTTACTTCTTCCTTATTGTCTTGACATGTAATAAAAATATAATCAGACTCATTGAAATATGAACACAGGGAATTCATCACATATTTTTTCGAATCAAACTTACCTTGTTAGATCGCCACACAAAAAAGAAGAGTAAAAACGAATTATTCCAAATCTTTTAAAATGTTAAAATTTTTAGGAAAAAGTCATTTTGTAAGAAATCAATTAGATTTTGTGTGTTTGTATGTGTGTGTGTGGAACAAAAATGATAAATAACATGCTTAGAATTAGTTTAAAACAAACAAGTATTTGATTGTATGACTTAATTACCATTACAAATGTATCTGATGAATGATACAGCTATGGTCTTTATGTCGTGAATATCATGCAATATCATGAAATCATTCATTACAAGTATATAGAAACATAACTAGTATCTGTAACTGTTAGTCAATGAAGCAAGGGCCGCATTCCTACAATTGAAGAACATATGGAGCTCAAAAAAACTTCCAACCAGTATCAATGTCACAATCTTCAATACCAACGTCGAGGCAGTTCTACTGTATGGAGCTGAAACTTGAAGAACTACAACAACCACCATCAAGAAGGTACAAGTATTTACAAAAGGTTGTCTACGCAAGATACTCAATATCCATTGATCGGATACCATCAGCAACAGCTTTCTGTGGGAGAGAACAAACCAGCTTCCAGCTGAAGAAGAAATTAGGAAACGTCGGTGGAAATGGATAGGACATACATTACACAAATCATCAAACTGCATCACGAGGTAAGCGATAACTTGGAATCCTGAAGGGAAGCAAAAAAGAGGAAGGCCAAAGAACACATGACATCGGGAAATAGAAGCAGATATGAAAAGGATGAATAGGAACTAGAAGGAGCTGGAAAGGATTGCTTGGGACAGGGTTGGATGGAGAATTCTGTTGAGCGGCCTATGCTCCTTCACGAGGAGTAACAGGTGTAAGTAAAAAGTAAAATAGTAGTCAATGAAGGAATAAACTTTTTTTCCATTCAGAACTTAGTAAACTAAACTAAAATGTTTTGAGGTTTAGATTTTTCTAGAATAACATTCATTATGTGTCTAAAGTACAATGTAAAAATTATAAGTGGATATTTTTCAAAGTTTGAAATATAATAACTTCCAATAATATAAATTGATCAGATAAATGTTTCGGGCAATCAATGATTAAGTCTTTTTACACCGTTAGATGCCGGCTGAGTGGTCTAGTTGTTAAGCGCACGAACGAGACTGATAGGTCCTGGGTTCGAATTTCGCGAGACGGGATTGTGGATGAGCACTGCTGAGGAGTCCCGCAATAGGATGAAACGATCGTCTATCGCTTCTAGTACACGAGCACGAAATATTTCCCTTCTGTATATGATAAAAGTTCACCTTGTCAATTATTTTAAATTCTAATCTATTCAGAAACATTAAACATCTTTCATATGATATTGAAAAATCCCTATTTACCAAACATGAATGGTTTATAACATATTCTTAATAATTTAATTTCACAAGTAAAGTGAATGGAAAACCAAGTAGATTTTAAAGCTATGCATCATAGTAATAAACTAAAAGGAATAATTGAATTTCATATTATAAGATATGCATAGGAATTTAGGAATTTAGGCTATTCATTTATAGTCTTACATGTAGAATGTGATTAAGTCTTCCGTATAATCAATTCTTTGTTTATTTTATTGTATATTTTATAAGAAAGGAAATGGAAGATTAATAACAAACTCTCTCACAAGTCAAAAAATAATATACTTTTCAATCTCATAAAACTCCTTCAAAATATTATAACGACTATCCTACAACCAATTGTGATTATGGTCAATTTCGGTTAAGTCCTCTTACTAACTTACTTGACAGATACTTTTATTCGAATAGTAACAATTCGCATATTTCTTTATACCCTTATCATCACTAGAGCACGTAACAGACTTTAGCTAAAATGTTGACTGTTTAAATATCACTCGATGATTCATCCTCCCCCCGTGTATATATGTACTCAAATCCTACTACTTTTAGCTTTTGCTTGACCTTGCTACGTCTTGATTCGATCAGACTATAAATTTGCTTATGTATTTGCTCGTATATATAAATTCGCATCTCTGCTTGGAATTCGCCAAATGCGCCTATAGCTATGTGATTTGCACTATCCCCTAATAAACTATAGTTGCTGTTTCTCTTTGCCTTCTAATTTCAAACACCGTTGAGATTTGTATAATAACGGTCACGACGGTGATCATTTAACGAAGCAAAGCCACTACAACTTCTTATTTATCAAAATGAGGATAACAAAATCTTACAAAATGTAATCATTAATAACATTTAAATTTATATAGGAAATTTAAAACAGGATAACTATGAGCAAAGATGGATAGTGGCTAGCAGTGGAATCCAGGACGCGCGTTTCGTCCTGTTTGGGACTCGTCAGCTGGATGTACCTGCATCTCAGAGTTGATGTTCACTCTGGGACTCGAACTCAGTACCGTTCGCTTCAAACGCCATCGCGTTATCCACTTAGCTACTGAGTCCTGATAGCCACTTGCTTGTGCAATGGGTTGAAGTTGAATTCACTTGATATTGTTTTACTAGCCACTATCCATCTTTGCTTATAATGCTTGTAAATTTAGGCAATATCGAGGCATACGCACAGTATGCACATATGCCAATAAGAGACTGATCAATTTCAGTCCAAAAAAAACACCAATGGGAAAATTCAAGTAAAACAATATCAGGATAACTATGGTTTTAAATGAAGCCATAATTTATGATTAAAAGAAATCTTCTATACAAGAATGAAAAATATTTTAACTTCAAAAACAAATAATAATAAAATTATTATTTTTAATGATTGTTTACCTAAAATTCAATTTCGTAAATAATATAACAAGGCAGCCTGATTGAATATCTGAGCTACCTGTTCATGCCACTTAGATATTTCAATAAGTTATCTGTTTCTTTTGTTTGTTTCAACACATCAGTATGTTTTTTTAATTGCATAACCTATTCAGGAGCGTTTATGAAAAGTTTACGATCTTTCACTGTACAATTTACAAAATAGTACAATCAATGATTTCATGATGACTAGATATATACATTGAAAAGAATGAACAATATTTAAATGCTGATTCTTGAAATCGCTTACATTTAACTGGTGATCACTTAATATTTATTGTCAGGATCGATCAAGTAATGAGAAAAGAAAATTTGTTGAAATACTTCGTATTGATAATTTTGTCTTGTACCAAAAATATAATATTGAATAAAGTCACTAATAATAAATATTAAGATCCCAGTGGAGGAAGAAATCAGGAAGAAGCACTAGAGTTGGAAAGCATCCAACTGCATTACAAAACAAGCTCTCACATGAAATCCTCAAGGTCAAAGGAAAAGAGAAAGACCAAAAAAACACATTACGTCAAAAAATGAGAACAGACACGTGAAAAATGAACAAAAATTGGATAGAACTAGCAAAGAAGGCCCAGGACAGAGTGTGTTGGAGAATGCTGGTGAGCAGCCTATGCTCCTTCACGAGGAATAACAAACGTGAGTAAGTAAGTAAGTAATAAAAAAATAAAAGATAATGGTTATTTAAAATTAAGAATAAATGTAACAATAATTTCATATATGATGCATAATATGGTAATTAGATTAAGTTCAAAAAGGTTAGATTTTACACATGATATAAAATTATTGTTTGCATGACTAAATAACATTTACTTATATGAGATTAAAATAACAAAAAAGAATGTTGTTCGTTGAGAGAAAAAAAAATCTATTATAAACAATAAATCAATTCGGAAGTGATCAAACATAAAATTAAATTAAGATGTTAATTATTGTTTTTTAAAATCAATTAGAAATTTAGAACAAAAAGTAGCAACAACAACAAAAAAAAAGAACAAATAAAATTTTCACATAAGTTTTTTTTATGATCTTACAACAGATCCATTTTTGTCGAGATTCTACTGGTTTGATTTCCTAATGAAATAGGAAGTAGTGTTCGATTGATATTTGTTTTAGATTAAAACAATTTATTTAATACTAAAATATTACTAGTATGGGGGGTTGTGGAGATTATTAAGTTTTTGATTGAGATCATGAATCGATTGATGTTAGACCACCGTTGGAAACCTGAAAGCACTGGACGGCCGTTTCGTTCTATTGTGGGACTCCTCGGCAGTGAGCATCCACAACCTATATACTAGTAATCAACATGTGCTCACTAGTGACTAGCTTCGTGAGAAAATTCTCGGAATTCTGGTGAGAAGTCGTGACCAGTGGAGCTATTCCGTGTCGGGTAGAGACAAGTATCTACCTCAGTACAATGGAAGTTGGTCGAGCAATTTCGTAGATTGGTTGATGTTAGACATTAACATCATTGGATGCCGGCTCAGTGGTCCAGTAGGTTATGCGTTCGCGCGCGAGACTGAAGACCCTTGGTTCGAATCCCGTGAGCGGGCTCGTGGATGCGCGCTGTTGGGGAGTCCCATAATAGAATGAAACGGCCATCCAGTGCTTCCAACGTTGATCTGACATCAGTTGGTTCATGATCTCAATCGAAGACTAATATATTAGTCTAATAAATAAACTGAATGAAATTTTTCAATTGAAGAAGTATTGGAAATAATGTTATCTAAAAGTTGTTAAGTCCCGATAAGCATAATGAATGGTAACTTTGGGATCCATTTGTAAACCAATACTATGCGTATATTTTTATTGAATAGTTGTTAAATAACTAAATTATTCATATTCATGCTTCA